TCTACACAGGAATTCATTTTAAAACGAAATGAATTCTGGATTCATTTGGTACCAAACGGTCTGTTAGGCTCAATTATCGGCACATAATGAGACATAACCAGACGTCTCAAAATAGTGTAGTGGTGGAAGCTGTCAATTGCAACCTCGAAGTCAGCAGTTCAAGTGCCGTGGCAACCTGGATTTTAATTTTACCCTTTATAAACGTTTTCTACCTTCTCTACTCTTACTAAATGAGAACCTCAATATAGGTAGACATTTCACTATGTATAATTTCAGTTTTCCGCTTTAGTTCCACTGTAGACTAAATTTAAAAGACTAAATTTAGACAAATGCTTTATTTTCTTTTGTGTTTAATTATTGGATTATCAACTAACCAAGTATGTCCGTCCTATGTGCTATGCGATCTTGCAAGAAAGTGTTACCATTTAGATTATTAGTCTTGTTTTTACTCTTTTAGTCTCTACTGCTAGTAGTGATAGTGAATTGGCTTTTTCTGTCATGCAATTACCCTTTAAACGTTTTGTACCTTCTCTACTTTTACTAAATGAGAACCTCAATATAGGTACACATTTCACTATGCATAATTTCAGTTTTATGCTTTAGTTCCACTTTAGACTAAATTTAGACAAATACTTTATTTTCTTTTGTGTTTAATTATTGGATTATTAACTAACCTAGTATGTATGTCATGTGTGCTATGCGATCTTGCAAGAAAGTGTTACCCTTTAAATTATTAATCTTATTTTGACTCTTCTAGTCTCTACTGTTAGTGGTCAACATACTTTTTCTGTTATGCAATTAGTGATTAAACTACGCAACAAATGAGTGATGATTTTCTTGCCGATGGTCTTGTTATTTATATTGAACAAGATGTAATCGACACTTTTCACATAGATTTTATTTTGAGTGATGTGATTAATCTCAAAGACGTCGCGTACGTTTAAAATAATAAATTATATTTGATAATTTCTTATAGTATTATTTTGTTTGAAAAAAAAAATCACCCCCCCCCCCACCCCGGGACTTGAATTCTTGGCTTCGCCCTTGCTCCTGACGTTGTGTTTAGCTAAACAACACTATTTCCTAGTAGCGCGGGGTCATTGAGTCTACAATTTCATACGATGTTGTTTTCCACTAAAACAAAATTGTTTCTTGTTACGCGACACCAATGACCATGGTCCAAAATAATTATTATAATTAAAATTAATTAGATTTGCTTCCTTAAATGACGAGACGCATTAACGCGGTATTGAATTCATGCCAAAATAATTTTAGGTGTCTATAAACTATATGGTGATGGGCTCCCAAGCTTATACTCACTGGCAAATCTGGGCTACCAAGCTTACGCTTTTCATTGTTTCGCAGGACAGTCTAGTACAAACCAACCCCAGTCGAGTCACCCTATTCGCACCAGATTCTTCTAAATTATGGCACTAAACATTTGGCCTGGTTCTTTAAACAAATAGTAAAAGTTCTTGCCCCAAACATAGACATTGTTAATTTGAGCGATTAATTTCTTCATCGGTGTTTTACGCCGCATTTGGCTTTATAGTTGCTTTCGATAGTGATCTGCTTCCTAAACACTTGTAAATTGCTGAAGGATGGATGTGACGATCTAGCCCAAGCTTAGTGTTGCATAGTGAAAATTTATTGGTCAGTGTTTTGAGCAGTGTTATTAAAGTCGAGTCGCTCGACCCGATCGGTAAAACCGCCACCCGGTTACAAAACCGGCTCGAACAGTCTAAAAATCGCTCCGGTTTTATGTCGCATTTGACGAGCGGCCGAGGCGGTTTACTGCTCGAGCTGCTCATCCGGTTTTTGCCATTCAGACGTTAAATTTAATTAAAAAAATTACAAAAAATTGAAAATTGAAATAAACCAAAAACGTCGGGCTCTCAAACTGAATTTTTATTTCCATTTCACAATTTCAAGGAAAGAGACGAGCTTTGATTAAGAAATGTCAACTATTTATACTGATAACATTTATTAGGTACCGATTCTCTAATGGTTTTTAAACGGTCTAATGCCGATTGAACCACTACAGTGCGAGTCGTTCACAATACTGGGTCATGCTCCGGTTCGATTCTGGTTTTGAGTGCCTTGGTCACAACTCACAACTGACAACACAATCTGACGGGCCATGGAGATACAACACGAGAAGAAATGGGCCCCGCGCATAGCCTTTGGCGGGCGTTGGCATAGGACATATGGGGAGGCCAGGGTTAGTGACGCAGAGCTAGGGATGGCAATGGGTAGGGTCGGGTGCGGGTTTACCCTATACCAACTCCTAACCCGTCGGGTAGAGCCTTCTAAAATACCCGACCAAATAACCACCGGGTATGAAAATTATATAACCATACCCTACCCATCGGGTAACCACGGGTATTCGTGTAACCATGGGTACGAATCCTAAACTATAAACTTATACACATATATTCACATACATACTGTTGTCCATTAAAAATTCTCAATACTTGTAACTGTTCTAGCTTCAACAATCCACACAAATAAAAACAGCAAACACATAATAATTGTTCTTGCTTCTACAATCCACATAAACATAATAATCGTCTACATCTTCATAATCAATAATGGTAGCTAAACTCAATTTTTCAAGCTAAACTAAATTTCTCAAGGGAAATTGACCATTTGGTTAGCGGGGTGGGTATAACGGGGCGGGTATTATCGATTACCATACCCGTACCCTACCTTTTATTTTGAAACCGGGTATTACCCGTACCCGCCCCTTAACCCGTCAAAGCGAGTAATTACCCTTGTTGACCGAGTACGGTCCGGTAGGGTACCCATGGTTACGGGTTGGATTGAGATCCCTACGCAGAGCTGCTTGCTTTGGCTTCCAAAGTGCAATCGATGGCGTCGGTCCATTTTCTGGGCCCATTCCCAAAGGCCCAAAAGTGAGCCGACGGAAAATGATAAGAGAGTTCCTATTTGTCGCCCTAATTATTTAAATTTATCTCCCTAAGATATGTAAAATGACCAAAATGCCCTTGGGTGGGTTTTAGGGTTTAAAACCCATATATTGTAGTAGGACATAATGGTCCTACACTTTTCCACTCTAGGACTTTTCCCCTCTTTGTAGAGACAAAGAGTGGAAACATCAAACAAAAAACTAATCAAATCCCACACCACAACAATTCTCAACTACTCTCTTCTTTATTGGTGAGTTTTATTTGAATTCGGCGAGACCATCGGAGCCAAAGGCACACTCGGCAGTCAAGTATTCGAACAAAGGTATGCTGCATTATTCTTCTTTTTTCTGGTTTTACGAGAACAAACGGGTTGAAATCCTGTGCATGCCGCCGGAGAGGCAGGTTGAAAACACGTCTCTCCATGGAGGAAACGGGTAGACAACTTGTCCGTTCCTCTCGCTGAGCATGTAATTCACATGCTTGATCCATCAGACAGGCGGGTAGACAACATGTCTGCGTCAGTGGACAGGTGGGAAGACCTTATGTCCGCGCTGATGGAGAGGCTTGTAATCGACCTGCTCGTCCCGCCGTCTCACCCTTTCGGCCACATGCCTTTCCATGGACGAGGCGGGTAGACAACCCGCTTGGCATACGGCTTAATCCCGTAAAGAACATGTCCGCTAACTGGTAGAGGCACCTGCGCAGCACGTTTTAACCATTGGCGGGTCTTTTTTGTTTTCTGCCTTGTCGATGGTCGAGTCATGTTTTGCACATGCTTGGGGCCGGTTTTTGTGATTTTTTAGATGGATTTTTGTGAATTGTTAGACAAGTTTTGATGAAATTCACTTGAAATATATTATATTTTCATTAAAATTTGTTTTTTGTTGTGCTTGTAGGAGGGAGGACAAAGTGTAGAAGCCTCTTTCGCTATCATCATCAAATAACAAGTTTAAAATGAGTGATTCGGTAAATACCTTATTTCTTTGTTGTTTAATAGTTAAATTATCGCAACATAATTGTTTCAAGACTAACATAAATATTTATACCATGTATTGTTTGTAGGGAGGTTTTGGAAATGATAAGGGTGACAATGTTGATTACACATCATTTTTCATATACGATGTTGTTTATGATACCCATGATGATGCTTTTGCAGCAGGAGATTGCCATGAGAAATAGGTTTTTCTTGATTGTGGGATCAGTCAATCAAAATCACTCATCAGAAAAATATCCGCGGTACTATATGGATTGCAACCATGGCTATAGGAACAAGTCATATACTCCTGATTTGGAAAAAACAACACGGAGCAAATCTAAAACAGGTAAGTCTGATTGTCGTTTCCGAGTGGTAGTGCGTTGTTCATTGGTAGATGGCAAATGTGAGTGGAGAATTTTTTGTGTTAAGGACAAAGAATCCGGGTAAGTCGAGAGGATTTCACAATCACAAATTGGAGGTTTATTCTGAAGAAAGTAGGCAAAGGAATTCTCTTTCGAAAGAGAGAAGAATAGATATTAAGGAGTTGGAGGCAACACATACTCAGGCAAGAGATATTAGGAGTTTTATGAATAGGAAGTACGATGCTCATCACCATATGAAGCAGATTTATAACGAGACAGAAAAGATTAGGCGTGAAAGATTGGGTGGCATGAAACCTATGCGGTGGACATTGATAGAAGCTCTTGTTGAGTGCGAGTTTGATGATGATCGTCGTGTTTCTAGACTCTTCCTTTGCCATCCAGAGTCTATTCGGATGTTGAGCGCATAGTATTTCATCATTTTGATAGACTCAACTTACAAGACCAACAAGTATAAGCAGCCACTAGTTCAGTTGATTGGTGTTAGTCCGGTGAAGAAGAACTTCAATATTGGGTTTGCATTGGTGTCGGATGAGACGAAGGAGACAAATGCTTGGATTTTGATGCAATTGAAGCATCTGCTTGGTGATCGAACACCGGATGCGTTTGTTACCGATAAGGAGGGAGGTTTGGGTGTCTCATTGCTACAGATCTTTGCCATCTTCAGCTCATTTACTATGCGTGTGGCACATGAAGAGGAACATTGAAGCTAAAATGTTGTCTTTTAGGATCAGTCGTGATTCTGCCGAGTGGTTTATAGTAGGTCCATGGGGGAGAGTCTTGAATGCCAATACCGAGGCAGGGTTCCAACGGTGTTGGCGAGACTTGCAAAATGGTCATTGGGGTACAAACGAAAAGTTGATGGACTACCTCAGAAGTGAGTGGATACCATGCGCGAAAAGGTGGGCTCATTGCTACACCAATTGTGTCTTCCATATTGGTAACACAAGCACAAATAGGGTAGAGTCAATGCATTCCTCTTTGAAGAAATGGCTTGCCACTTCGACCCACAAGATCGATACACTCTTCCTTAGATTTCATACATCCGTCGAGGGAAGAGTGATTGAATTGAAGAAGGACTTAGAGGCATCACTTTCCAAGGTATTTTCATTTTTTTTCCTATTTAAATTAGTACTTCCCTATATCCTCAATTTGATTTTGACTTAGAAATTCATGATTCGGAAAGGTATTTGCATTAGCCTATGGACCGCCATATGGAAACTTGAATAAGGAAGTAAGTTTGTGGGCGATTGAGTTGATGATGGAAGAACGAGGAAGGGAAATCGTTCGGCGATGTGGATGTGGGCTACATGAGACACATGGTCTACCATGTAAATGTAAGATGGATGAATATAGTGTTGCCGGCGTAGAGTTGTATCCCTACCACTTGCATCGATTCTAGTCATCTTTGGTGTATGAGAGTCCTCCCGACAGTGCCGAATGGGAAGACCATGATGCCATTGAGCGTAACATTTTTACAGCAATGGTGGAGGATGTGTACAAACAAGGGCCAGCTGCTATTCGGAAGGCAACTCAGATAATACGAACCCATATTCTTCCTCAAGTTGAAGGCCTACAAGAGCCTAGGGAGTCAGAGGCTCAAAGGGGACGACCACCTAAGAGGACCAACGCCCGAGATCCTTCCTCGTTTGAGCATGAGAGGGCAAGGTCAGCAAAGAGGAGCAAAACAAATCAGATCCCGAGGACACTTAGGAGCAAAACCCCCGCAGGTTAGCATCATTTTAATATTTTTGTGATGATATCTTGTCTCATTTGTAAGGTTTCGAATATGTGACCATTTATATTAGTTATTTTTTTCCATTTGTTGTAGGTTCACGGAAAAGTCAGCATATGCAAGTTCACAATGAGAGAAATGGTTGCCCCTATCTTCGCTATGTCCCACCCAGCATCCACCCTCTTGTTAGAGGTTGGTTTGTGATAGCATCGTATTTGCACGTGTTTTCACTCGGGTTTCCTGTCCATTTTGGCTCGAATTGGTTGTTCCTTGGCCTATTTTACGCTAGGTTGTGTTGTTTTGTCGTATTTCAGGTCCTAGCAAGTAAGGAGGTGCATAGGCGCAAGTTTCGGGTCATTTGGAGGCCAGATGGCGAATCACAGAGGGAATTACGGGCAGCCCCTGCCAAATTACGACCGTAATTGGTCAGGGCATGCCCATAAACCAATTGCCGAGCCTTCTCCCCAGATATTCCTCTCGGTGATAAAATTACGGGCAAGACCCCCAAGAATTACGACCGTAATTCCCAAATTACTGGCAGTAATTGGGAAATTACGGGCGTATCTCCTCCTCCTTCAGCTTAATTGAAACGTGCGTTTTGGTGCGAATTACGGGCAGGACGTGATTACGGCCTTAATTCTGCCCGTAATTCGCCCAGAGTCGGGTTTTTTGGAGGCATATTCGAGCCAAGGAAGAGGAATTCGAGTTTCCAGAGCAAAAACAGAGTTTTAGAGAGAGAAAGAGCGAAGAACAAACCCTAGGAGCTATTTTGGAGTGGATTTCTCATCATTGAAGCCCAGATTGCGTCCCCAGGAGTGAAGATTGACATCCCAGAGCAGATTTTCCTCATCTTTATGAGTATGACTACTCTGATTTCTGTTTTCCTTTCTCTCTCTATGGAGTAGAACCTTTCTCTCACTTGGGTATGAAGAACCCTAGTTCCTTGTGTTAGGGATTTGATTGTAATGACTTGGGATGATATTACTGTTTGACTTTAATCGAATGATGCATGTTTATTGAATTGATTGGAGTCTGATCAGCTTTTCTCAATTTCTGCTGCAACCTGAGATAGATAGAATCTGATTAGGTTGTTAGAGCCTCTTCATTCGATAGTAGGAGATTGGCTATACGAGAGTTAGCCAGTTTACTGCTTTGTACTGGAATTCAATTCCAGTAGTGGAGTTCTGTGTTCATAGCCTCAGCTTTCTATCCCGGTGAAGACAAGGCGTCTGCCGGGTAGTAAGACTGAGAGGGCTTGGTCAGCTTAAGAGATTCCAAGCTACTGTCGGATCTTCCGCAGTCTAATCAACAGTAAATCAACCCAGGGGAATTACAATTGAACCTAACTAAGGGGCTAGGGGGACTCATTCCCGAGTGACTCTTACCTGCTTTAGAAAACCGAACCATTTCCTGCTTTCTTATTGCTTTTGCTTTAAACAACAATCACTCGAACTAGTTAGCTAGATAATAAATCATCACGGAGTAAGCAGTAGATCTAGACCCCGGGTTGATAATATAACTTGCCTGTTACTGCATTCCCGGACTGCGATTACACTTGGGGCACTGCCAGGAGATCGAGACGAGCACCAGGACGGGGTGTGCATGCTGTGGGCACCCAGTCATCTGATTTGGTGCAGGTGGTATCGAAGTTGGTTTCAGCTATCGATCGTTCTGGTTTGATTGCAGGTACAGGACAGCCGCAGGCGATGCACTGCCAGTGGTGTGAGAGCTCTCATCACACCATGGAGGACTGTCAGGCAATGAGGGAGTCGTCTACTCCCCAGGAGCAGGTGGAATTTATCGGGAATGCCAGGCGCTTTGACCCCTACAGCAACACCTATAACGAGGGGTGGCGCCAGCATCCTAACTTTTCTTGGGCTGGGCCAAATCCCAGACCACCAGCTCCCCAGGGACCACCCGGTTTTCAGAGGCCTCCATACTAGCCCAGACAGGGGCAATTTCAGCAGCCACAGCAGCCACTCTACCCGCCCAGACAGGGGCCAGTTCCACCTCAGTCACAGGTGCGACCATTTCAGCAGGTAGGGGCAGCACCTGCAGCCCCAGTACAGAGTGACCCGATGGTGGAACTGAGAGATCTGGTGGGTTCTCTGGCCACCTCCAGTGCAAATAAATTCAATAACATTGAGCAGTTCATGGAGAAAGCTTCAGGCAAGTTCTTGGAGCTAGAAGCTGGTCAGAGAAACACACAAGCTGTGCTGCGAGATATACAGACCCAGCTTGGTGGTGTTGCCCAGGCTGTTGCTCGGAGGACTCCAGGCACCTTGCCTGGTCAGACCATCCCTCACCCGCAGGACCCGGATGGCAACTGCAGTGCCATCACAACCAGGAGTGGCAAGGTGACTGCTGATCCCCCTGTTCGGGCAGAGGAGAGAGAGACCCCTGCTTCAGCACTTCCAGCTAATCAGGAAGAAATGGAGAAGGAGGTTGAGGTGCCTGCTCCTAAACCGCAACCAGTGGTGAAGGAGTATGTACCACAGCTTCCCTTTCCTACTCGGTTGCACAAGGACCGACTGGAGACTGAGTTTGCCAAATTCATGGCAATGCTGAAGTAGGTGAATATTAGCATGCCCTTCGTGGAGGCATTATCGAAGATGCCCAAGTATGCCAAGTTCATGAAGGATCTCCTCACCAACAAGAGGAAGCTTGGGGAGTTGTCCACGGTGATGCTAAACGAGGAGTGTTCTGCCATCCTGCAGAACAAACTACCAGAGAAGCGAAAAGACCCAGGGAGTTTCACTATCCCTTGCATGATTGGTAGTTTGCATGTAGGGAAGTCCTTGGCGGATTTAGGCGCTAGCATTAATGTCATGCCATATTCACTGTTTAAGAAGCTAGGCCTATGTGAACCCAGTAATACTAGGATGAGCATCCAGCTTGCTAATAGATCTATTGTGCATCCTAGGGGTATAGCAGAGGACTTGATAGTCGCAGTAGGGCCATTTTCATATCCTGTTGATTTTGTGATTTTGGACATAAATGAGGATGTTGATGTGCCATTGATACTGGGTAGACCTTTTCTCGCCACCGCCAAGGCGCTGATTGATGTTAATGATGGAAAACTGATTTTAAGAGCTGGGGGTGAACAAATCACCTTCTCTGTTTCTGATAATATTAAACACCCCCAGCTCCATGATGATCTTGATTACTGTGATGTTGTTGCTGATTTTGAGACCGCACTCGCCATCACGAGTGCGGGTACTGATGATTTCCTTGAGCGTTGTCTTTTGCTAGGGGAACAGGCATCACAGGATATGCAGCTGGAGGCGCAGCTTGCGGAGCTGGACGAGGCTGCGAGCGAGGGGCGAGAGATACCATTCAAGCCGATCCCCATCTCGCCCTGGTTCGCTACATCATTGGAGGAGCCACCAGAGTTGGAGCTTAAACCCCTCCCATCTCACCTGGAGTATGCTTTTCTCCGGGAGGGGAATAAGCTCCCGGTGATTATTAGCTCGGATCTGACACCCGAGCAGAAGAGCAGGCTGGTGGCTCTACTGCAGAAGTATGCCCGGGCCATGGCATGGAAGATCACCGACATCAGAGGCATTAGCCCATCCTTCTGCTCTCACAGAATCTTGATGGAGGATGAGGTTAAGCCAGTCAGGCAGCCACAGAGGAGATTGTCTCCTAACTTGGAGGCAGTGGTCCGGGCAGAGATTGTGAAGCTCATGGATGCAGGGATCATCTTTGCTATATCTGATAGCAAGTGGGTCAGCCCCACTCAGGTGGTCCCGAAGAAAGGCGGGATGACTGTGGTCCCGAATGAGAAGAAGGAGTTGATCCCGATGCGGACCGTGACCGGTTGGAGAGTCTGCATCGATTACCGGCGCCTGAACGACGCCACCAGGAAAGATCATTTCCCCTACCTTTCATTGATCAGATGCTGGAGAGGTTGGCTGGGCATGAGTTCTATTGCTTCCTGGATGGCATGTCTGGTTACTTCCAGATTCCTATTGCACCGGAGGATCAGGCGAAGACCACATTCACTTGCCCCTTCGGCACTTTTGCTTACCGGAGGATTCCATTTGGGCTGTGTAATGCACCGGCGACCTTCCAGAGATGCATGCTGGCGATCTTCGACCGACTGGTTGGAGAGATCATGGAAGTCTTCATGGATGATTTCTCAGTATATGGAGACTCTTTCACTCACTGTCTCCATAACCTGGAACTCGTTCTGGAGAGGTGCGAGGAGACTAATCTGGCACTCAGCTGGGAGAAGTGCCATTTCATGGTTCGTGAGGGTATCGTGCTCGGGCACAAGATCTCCAAGAAGGGGATTGAGGTAGATCGCGCGAAGATTGAGACGATCAGTCAGCTACCTCCTCCCGTGTCTGTGAAGGGCATTCGCAGCTTTCTGGGTCATGCAGGCTTTTACCGGCGCTTCATCAAAGATGTCTCGAAGATTGCCCTGCCGTTGACCAAGCTGCTGGAGAAGGATGCGCCATTCCAGTTCACTCCCGAGTGCACAGCTGCATTTGAGACTCTGAAGGAGAAGCTTACCCATGCCCCTATCATGGTGACTCCTTACTGGTCTCTTCCTTTTGAGCTGATGTGCGATGCGAGTGACTATGCAGTCGGAGCAGTTCTGGGTCAGAGACGCGAGAAGCACTTCCAGCCCATCTACTACGCGTCCAAAACCTTGAACGATGCACAGGAGAACTACACCACCACAGAGAAGGAGCTCCTCGCTGTGGTGTATGCGTTTGACAAGTTCCGACCCTATCTAGTGCTCTCTCATGTGGTGGTCTACACTGACCACTCGGCGATTCGCTACCTGATGAGCAAGGCTGATGCAAAGCCTAGGCTCATCCACTGGATCCTGCTGCTGCAGGAGTTTGATATCGAGATCCGGGACAAGAAGGGAGCCGAGAATGTTGCTGCAGATCATCTTTCGCGGTTGGAAGCCCCTCCGGTGGACAACTTCGAAGAAGAGATCGACGACTCCTTCCCGGGTGAGCGATTGCTGGCGATGACCCTGGTGG